GGGGATTACAAGTGAGATGGAACAAAATGATGTAAAGATAAACTGTTATAAAATAAAATAAATAAATAAAAAAAACACACTGCTGAGGTGAACAGAGCGGGGAGCCAGAAGTCTGCTATAGCCAATGTGGATCACCTCTCTGGCTGGGGATTGAACTTAGGCCACAATGGTGACTGGAAATAGTTTCATAGTGCTGAGACTTAACCCCTTGTGCCACCAGGAAAGTCATAAATTAGATAGTCTTACATAGTAAGGCACTATAGGAATTTTAACACCAGATCTACAAGTTCCATCTTTGAATTTTTTTATCGGTAATGCAGTGATTATTTAAAGATTAATTAGTGAAGAATTGTCATCTTCATTATGTGAATAATGGTTTTGTGTGAGGTATAGGGATGTGCATATTTACTAAGCAAACTTGGGAAGTAAGGGGGGAGGGCAACACAGGAAGGGATGAGGCACTTAGTGAAGTGTCCAAAAATTCAGGTCCAACTGATGAGAAGGTTTTGGGGATGTTGGCAAGGAGGAAGGGAAGGTTAGAGGCCCAGTCAGTTGTGAGCTGACTTTGCATTTGGAGAAGAGCCTCCATTATCTGCCAGCCAGCTTGCATCAGGTACACAGAGAATAAATGTTAAATCAATGCACCAATGAGCCCATACATTAATTTTTGTAAAGCTTAGTGTACGCCAAACAGCCTGCAAGTATTTATCATAAATTATCTGTAACCCTCATAACAACCCTAGCAGACAGGTATCATGACCCCCATTTGACAGGTCAGGAAAACTGAGATTCAGAGAGGCGATGTCCTTTGCCCACATCCAAAGCCGAGTCTTTATGATTCCAGAAGTCATTTATCCATGGGAACAGATCTAATATCCACCGATGTACTCATTCATCCATCGAAGATATATTAAGCACCTACTAACTACCACAACGACCTAGAATAACAACTACTTCGGATGACAGAGTAAGCGAGGCGTTCCCAAGAAGACCAGCTGGGCGGATGTATGTACTATGGGTACCAAAAGGGTGGAGTTTCTAATGCCCAGTTCCAAAATAGTACCTGCCTAGGCCTTAGAGTTATAGCTTGGCTGACAAGACGCGGTTTGACTGAAGTTGGAGCGAGGTCTTCAGGGCAGCTATTGTGAGCTCTAGCCGAGAGGTGGCGTGGTTCCACAGCTTGAAGTATGGCCTGGAGTTCCTAGGCGCTCCCACAGGCCATTGACGCGCAAGCGCAGAGAGCCCAAGGATCAGTTTAATAGCTTGCGGAGGAATCAGTTGCGAAGAGAGGGCGTGGATCAATAAATTACCTCTCTCTGATTTGCTCCAGTCTCTGAAGGAGTGGCCTAGCTGGCCTCCTCGGAAAGAGGGCCGACCGAATCCAGGTTTCCCCTCCGCGTCGGAGGCGTGGCTTAGGGCTGGGCCTCAAGCCACCTCTCGGCCATTGGTCGTTTCACTCATAGGGCGTGGCCCGGAGAGCCGTCCATCCTCCGTGTGGTCACTTCCTGTGGAGTTTCCCCAGCCCAGGAGGAGGGGAAAGAGGACTAGGCGGGGGGAGGGAGGGGAGGGCGGTCGTCCGGGGTTAGGTTGGGGGAGTTGTTGGTCCGTTCAGGGCGGGGGATGACTCACGGCCCATCCCATCTCCCCGACGCCTCCCGCCCGCGCACAGCTCGCTCCATGGCTTAGCGGAGGAGGAGGCGGTGGTGAGCGGGGTGGGGGGGGAAAGGGGGACTCTTATTTTGTTAGGGGGGTCGGGCCGAGGCCCGACCGGCCTGGCAGGGCTCGCCCGGGGCCGAGCGTCATGTCTCATGCAGCCGAGCCAGCTCGGGACAGCGTAGAGGCCAGCGCAGAGGGCCCTCGAGCCGTGTTCGTGCTGTTGGAGGAGCGCAGTCCGGCCGACTCGGCCCAGCTGCTCAGGTGCGGAGCCGCCTGGGGCCGGTGGCGCTGACTGGGACTCCCGGGAGCCTGATCCGGGGGCAGCGGGGTTCCGCGACTGGGATTGGAGGCGCTTGGCCTAGGCTTGGAGGACGTTGGGGTGCCCGTCTTGGGGGTGCGCCTGAGGAATCCGGCGATGGCCTGCTTGGACTGGAGGCTTAAAGGAGTCTTGAAAGTGCATTAAGGGAGGCCTACTTCATATTGGAAGGGGGCCTTGACTGGATCTAGAGGGACAGATTATGTTGTTTCTAGAAAGTGGTCTAAGGTAGCTGAGCTTGGCAATTAGCACTCTAATTAGGACTGAATTTGGGGTCTGTGAGTCAGGCATAAAGGGGATGAATTGAGGGGCGCTGGGTAGGTAAGGCACTGATTTTAAAGGAATCCTGGACTTTCTACCTCAGTGTCAAAGAAGGGTGCTGTCTTGGGAGATTGGTGACTCCCAGTGGCCGGTTGCTGAAAGCTGTTTGGGGTTAACATTATAACTGGAGGGATTTGGGGAGTATCTTAGATATACTGCGTGGGACTCGCCTTGTGAGTGTATGTGAGTAAGCAAGAGAAGCAGCATTCATCAAAACTTGACCAAAATGATCTCTTCACCCCTGCCCACCCACCCAGCTATGTCAGATCCCAGGAATATTGGAGAAAACTCCACACGCGCAAAAGGTCTTGAATGGGAGACAGGCAGGCAGACAGGCAATGGATCTGGCGCTACCTCTGCTCAGAGAAGGCCTCCGACCTTATTTGGGAACCCAGAGGAGGGACTTATTCCTGCTGCCACCTGCCCTAGCCTCTCAGTGCTGCCCACCCCTTACACACACACACACACACACACACACACACACACACACACACACACACACACAAGGACAGGCACGCACATGTACACGACTTTTTTAAATCACTCTTAGTTTGTCTCTCAGGCTCTGGAGATAATCTTGAATCTTTCCCTAGAGATGCAATAAGTGCTACATGCATCATCCCTGCTTAGGTGGGTCTTCTCTGGCCTCTCACTTCCACCAGAGTGTTCTTTGGAAGCCCTGGCCCTTCCTGTCCACATCCTGCCCACCTCAGCACCTGTCTCTTCCATCTTCTGTGCGGCAGTGTGTGTCCCGCAAGGGGGCTTTGCCCACTTTTTGCCTGGCATTTTGCTGAGCTAAGTAGCTCCCTGAGCTTCCTCTTCCTGACTTCCTGGGTGGTTTTAGGGCCCCATCTGAGGGTGAGGAAAGGAAGGAAGAAGGATCTTTGGGGAGGGGAGAGAATTCTTGTCAAGTGAAGTCAGCTATATCCTCTCAGGTTTCTAAATCTTTGAATTCATTGATGCATGTGTGTCCGCCCGCGCCCCCTACTCACGAGGGCCTTGCACCTAGCATGGGAGAGTTGAGCAGGAGCCTTTCTGAATATGGTTCACCATCTTCTAGTGTCTTTATAACAGCGTAGATCATCACAGAAGTGGGGGTAATTGAAAGGGAGGGGTGCACATGGCTTCTTGTTTTGTGTGTCAATGGGTGTTAGTCTTGGAGGTGTTTGTGTGTGCATGTGCATTTTGAGCTATCAAAAACCAGAGCTCTGGGCAGTCTCCTTTGGCTAAGTATAAAGTGATAAGAGTTTCACTTACCCAAACTCTCCCGTTAATCCTGATTTTTCCATATTATTTTGGGCTGTGTTTTAGCATCCCAAGAACTCTGGGGGGAGGAGCTCATCTGCAAAAAGGTGAATCCCTCTGAAAAGTGAATCCTTGACCCCAGTTCTCTTTGTGATACATTCAATCTGTGTTACAATAGGCTGTTTTGCTGAGGGATGCCCCTACCGTGCTGTTCTGTGTGGACAAAGGTGGGCTCACATTCAGCTGCCAGGAAAACTGTAGGGGGTGTGGGGGCTGGGAGGACTCTGGATGCAAAGTCAGGAATCCTGCAAAGTGAATCTTTAGTCCTAAATTCTTCGTACTTTCTCTCAAATCCAGGTTGTTATCCTTAAGTGTTAGAGTGAGGAGTCAGGATACAGGCACACTTCTTACTTTGTAACTTAAGGGACTAAGAGTGACACTAGGAGAGAGGAGAGAGGGGTGTGGGTATAGAAGACAAGGGAATTTCTGGTGGTCTCCCCTGCAGAGTGGCAGATTAGGAGGGATATCCTCAGTTCCTGTTATCCTCTCTCCTGGTGCCCTCCCCCTCTCCCCGCCCCCTCCAATGAGGTCTCCATTCTATCACTGACCACCACCCCGACCTCCCCCAACCCTCAGCCTAAGCTCTCTACTTCCGGAATCCGGCATTGTTGCAGACATCGAACTAGAAAACGTTCTTGATCCAGACAGCTTCTACGAGCTCAAGAGTCAACCCCTACCACTCCGCTCCAGGTAGGTCTCCTGTCTTACACCTCTCCCAATCCCTCAGATCCCTTCAGCCCGATTTCAGGCAATGGCCTTCAGGACCAGCCCAACCCATTATCTCACCGACCTGTATTTTCCAGATAATAAAATTAGGGGCTCTGAAAAAAGCATTTCAAACAGTAGAGCAGGTGGCCAAACTAGGATATCAGTAACTCTGAGGTTACCCCCCACTTTCCCTCCCACCCTCCTGCTGCACACCCTTTCATATATTAATATTGCTGCATGTCCGGAGTGCCCAGAGATGGGGTGTGGCCTTCGGGAGCTGCCACCCCCAGGTGGGGTGGAGTGCCCACAACCCCTGTTCACACCCTCCCTCAGCCAACTCTTCCACCTCCAGCCCTTGCTGGTCGCCTCTCTCCCCAGGCTCATTAGTCCAAATGTGCTGAGTCATCGGCCTGGGCTCTAGGAAGAGGGGAGGGGACCTGGAAGAGGGGCAGGAAGAGAGGATTGTGAAATCTCTGAGATTTTCAAGACTGACTAGCTCCTGGGACCAGAGGCCCTGGCAGGGGAGGAAGAAGGGCCTGGGGTTGCCCACGTGGCCTGATGTCTACCCTAGGAGCTCGGGCAGCAGCTCTAACCCTAGTTGAATATCTGAATCTGCTGCCCCAACTTCCATTCTGCCTCCTTCCGCTCCTTAATTAGAATAACACCCCCCCACAGCTGAACAATGGCATCTCTACTCTAGGAACCAGCCCGGTTCTAGGCTTACCCTTAAGGACTGAGGGCTGGGTCCAGATTGAGTTCCATATCTTCCCCCATCTGACCTTGACTCCTGAGGGTTAAGGCCAGCCAGGACTGCATCCTGTGTCTCTCCTATCACTCTGATCTCTGAAGGCAGAGACCAGGCTTGTTCCTACTGCCCCCCCACCAGATTGAGACCCCCCTAAAGGCTGGGTTTAGATTTGGTTCCAGTGTCTACCCCATCAGACCTTGACCCCAGAGGGCAGGGACCAGGCCTGGTTCTTGTACAATCTCCTGCATTAGACTCTGACCCTGAGGGCTGCGACCAGCCAAGCCAGGTTCCCGTGTTTCTCCTAACAGACTGTGGCTCTGAAGGCAGAGAACAGCCTGGTTCCTGTGTCTACTCCATCAATTACACTGTGACCCTTAGGCCTGGGATGAAACTTTTAGCTTACCTGTGGCCCCCATATTTCCCATTCCACAGCCTCCCAATATCACTCCAGGCCACACCAGCCACCCCAGCTACACTCTCTGCATCTTCTGCAGGGGGCTCCGGGACCCCTGCCATGTCATCATCATCTTCATCGCGGGTCTTGCTGCGGCAGCAGCTAATGCGGGCCCAGGCCCAGGAGCAGGAGAGGCGTGAGCGTCGGGAACAGGCTGCAGCCTCTCCCTTCCCCAGCCCTGCACCTGCCTCTCCTGCCATCTCTGTGGTGGGCGTCTCTGCTGGGGGCCACACATTGGGCCGTCCTCCCCCTGCTCAAGTGCCCCGGGAGGTACTCAAGGTAAGGTGACATCCAGAGGCCCTGGGACAGGGCTCCTGGTGGCCTTTTGAATCAGGTTTGTGGGGGGGAGGGCAGGTCCCAGGTATTGTGCTAATGTTCCATTGTGCTTAGAGTTTTTCGGGTGTTCTTGTTTAGTTGCGAGGGGTTCTTAACAGGCTGTAGGATGTCTTGATGTGCCAGAGGGGGTCATGAGGGTCCTGTGAAGTAGCTTTGTTGGAATAGTACCTTGGATGTGCAATGCACATGGGGTTCTTTGGCCATTGAGTTGTCTTAGAAAGCACTTGTAGCCCCAGGTCTGTTAGATAGTGTCGGAGACCAGGGGGATCTCTTGGGGATCATAACAAGGGATCAAAACTGAGGGATTCTACCAGCCCTGGGTGGATCTTGGGAGTTATGAGGTATTTCTGGGAAAGGGACTTTGGGTCCTGGGGGAGACTTTCAGTATGTTGGGGTAGAAGGGTTCTCAGATTCTGGACCCGGCTTGCTGAGTCTAGGAGCAGGTGACCTGTTAGCCTTAGGGTCAGGCTGGGCCCAGAGTCACCTCTCAGAACCCTATTCTGCCATGTCTCATTTCCCTCATATACAGGTACAGACCCATCTGGAGAACCCAACACGCTACCACCTCCAGCAGGCACGCCGGCAGCAGGTGAAACAGTACCTGTCTACCACACTTGGGCCCAAACTGGCTTCCCAGGCCCTCACCCCACCACCAGGGGCTGCTAGTGCCCAGCCGCTCCCTGCCCCTGAAGCTGCCCATGCCACTGGCCCCACAGGCAGCGCTCCCAACAGCCCCATGGCACTGCTCACCATTGGGTCCAGCTCAGAGAAGGAGGTGAGTGGCTTGAGATAACCTTGTGATGCCCCCTGTGTCCAGCTTCTTCTACCCCTCTTCCACACTTTCCTCTTCCCTCAGATTGATGATGTCATTGATGAGATCATCAGCCTGGAGTCCAGTTACAATGACGAGATGCTCAGCTATCTGCCTGGAGGTACCACAGGGCTGCAGCTGCCTAGCACGGTAAGGCCCTGAGGTGGGGCGCTCTGACAGTCAGAACATCGCTCACCACTGAGGCTACACCCGGGCTGGCTGTGTGTACAAAGCCCATGCCTTGGAGAGGGAGGGAGGCCATGTGATAAGAATGGGGCATAACCGATGTCCTAGGGCCTTATGCTGAAACCTTGTAGATTTTTACACATACCAGTAGGGACTTCATGGAGTTTTCATGACACACCAAGGCTCTGTGGGAGGAAGGACCGAGAGGTGGAACCCTGTAGCAATTTAAATGCGTCAGGAGATTTAGGTCATTGAAACATAATCAGACCATGAAGTGAATAAAACATGTCAAAAGTCTCAAAACATTGTGTGGTTGCACCTTGAGGCGTTGGAAGTATATCCTGTGTCTTACAGCGAATTCATGCCAAAAGGCTGTAGAGAGTGGACAAAACTTTCTAGAGTATAAGATAAACCAATCAGTTGGCACATTCTGGCCCTGGAACATGCTAGGAGGTTCATAACTTGCTTGAAGATATGCCAAGTGGCTATAGTTTTGCTTTTCCAGCTTAAGAGGATAGAAGCATGTATAAAATCATTATTCATTTATCTGAACTTTTTATTTATTTAGACATAACTAGATGTTGGGGTGTTATGTTAAATGGATCCATCAGACTGGCAGGAAGCTCATCAAGAGGTGGGACTGATTATTCTGGATAAGTGTGTTGCCCTAGAGTATGTCCAGGAGAGGAAGCAGTCTGGGCTGACATAGGAGCAGGGCTTATTGGGTAGCTGCATAGCAAATCTTAAGAGATCAAATGTGCAGGAAGGTCCTAGTGTCAGGACCTTGGGGCATGGCAGCTAGAGACCATAAGATGGTACTAGGAAATTATAGCAAAGGCCTGGAGAATGGGCTGGTAACTCTCCAGAAGGCCAGACTTTGGATTGTCATGTTGCCATGCCAATTTCCCGAGGTGCGAGAATAGGCTGGTGCGCTCCAAGAATGTTGAGCTGGAATGCATACTAGGCAAGGCTGAGGGCCTGCAGTGTCACAGTAGAGCTGAACGGGGCTTTTCCAGCTTTGCTTCTCAGCCAGCACTGGGTTTGAGAAGGTTTCAGCGGCTCTTGAGAGTTTTGAGGAGCAGTGGGGGTGTGCTAAACAGGCCCAGTGGGCTCCAGCCCTGGGCAGCATAGATTCATGTGACCCTGACCTCCCTGTTGGGTCACCATGTAAAACTCCTGCAAAGGAGAGGGAAGGGCTTCCATTGCTGAGTCAGCTGATCTTTGCATCAGCAGGTCCATCTCTGGAGTACTTGAGGGTGGGAAACCTGATGCTGAGAAGGGGCGGGGCCTAATCATCATCTCCCTGCCTTTCTGCCCCAGCTGCCTGTGTCAGGGAGTCTGCTCGATGTATACAGCAGTCAGGGTGTGACCACGCCAGCCATCACCGTCAGCAACTCCTGCCCTGCTGAGCTGCCTAACATCAAACGGGAGATCTCTGGTAGGGACCAGAATATTGCTTTTTTTTTTCAAGATGTATTTATGTTTGCATAGAAGAACTGGGGTATAGGCCAGAGGAGCGGGGTGGGGGTAGGGTTGAAAGGTTTCACCAGAGACAGAGTGGGGAGCAGAACAGGCAGATCAACGAAGTACACTGCTGAGGGGAGCAGCGGGCAGGTCAGGAGAGGTCTGCCATGCCGTGTGGGGCAGCTCCCTGGCCAGGGATCAAACTCAGGCCATAGCTGAGAGAACCCGTAGGCCACCAGGGAGGTTCAGGGCCAGCCTCAGCCCTGTGTGTCTATCCTGTCCCTCTGGGTGTACCTGGTTGTGGAGTCGGGGTATAAGCAGACAGAAACTTTGCCTTCCTGATCCACATGGTCCATCACTCTGCCTTTATCTCATTTTCTCCCATCTTGGGTTTAACAAATGGCCTGCGCTGCAGTGACTTAGAAATGGTAAAAAAGAGTGGCACTTTTTAAAAGTCACCACCCTTGCATACACCCCTGACGCCTGCCTCAGCAGCTCTAGAGGGGGTACTGCATCTTCCCTGTGTAGAGGCCCTGACCACTCTCACTTTCTTCCAGAGACTGAGGCCAAGGCCCTTTTGAAGGAACGGCAGAAGAAAGACAATCACAACCTAAGTGAGTGAGCGTGCGTGGGCCCTTGTCATCAAGCCTTGCAGCCCTGCTTTGCCCTGGGCCTTGGCCTTCCTTGGGAGGTTTCTCCCACCAGACTGCACCCCCTGGCTTTTCCTCTTCTTGCCGGACCCCATAATAACTCTTTCTCATTCTTTCTCTTTCCCACCTCCAAAGTTGAGCGTCGCAGGCGATTCAACATTAACGACAGGATCAAGGAGCTGGGTACTCTCATTCCCAAGTCCAGTGACCCGTGAGTGGGCCCGAGACCAGTGGAAGGTGGGGGGCAGGGGGCCCTGTTCCCATCTAAAGTTGTTCCTGTGTGGGGACTGCCCAGGCAGCTGCTCCCCCAGCCTTTGCCCACACCCAGCTTGCCTCACCCCAAGCAGAACTATAGTTCTCTACCGTATCTGCACCTCAAATTTGAGGCACATGACATCATCGCCCATGCGCCTCCTCTGCTCCCTATATGTCACTCTGCTTTCTCTGCATTTGGTATTGCCTTGATTGATTCAAGAAATGCATGGGCTGGTCCTGTGTGCCAGGTACCATGCAAGGTCCTGCAGATAGGACAAGAGGGAAGAAAACAAGATACCCTAAGCTCATTCATGACCATGCTGTTTTAGTGGCTCCGACAGCACACAGACAAATAAGTAAAATCCACAAGATCAAGAGTGATGCGGAGAAGGTGTGGACAAATGATGGAGCGTGTAGGAAAGGGTTAGGATTTGGAGGAAGGACAATGAGGGTGGGGCTGGCCTCAGCTGACCAGAGGACACATGAATGAAGACCCTAACAAGGGGAGACAGGAGCTATCTGGGTGTCCACAGTGAAGCGTGTTCAGGCAAGGGCGTGGCCAGGCCACAGGCCTTGAGACAGCAGTGATCTGGGAGCATTGAGAAGCCAGTGTGGCCGTAGCGAAATGAAGCAGGAGCAGTGAGGGGGCAGATCAGACAGGGCTTCCTGGTGCCTTCAGGTGTGATGGCGCACCACTGGAAGGTTCTAGGTAAGGGCGGAGGGGTGTTTCATCTGAGCTCTCCATCCCCTTGATGACCCCCACCTTACTTTCTAGACATGTGGTGGGGTGCTTTATTTCCCTGGTGCACTCCCCCTCAGCTCCTCAGCAATTCCATAAGCACCACCCCCTCCTTTCCCTCCCTTGGGCCCCACAGGGAGATGCGCTGGAACAAGGGCACCATCCTGAAGGCCTCTGTGGATTACATCCGCAAGTTGCAGAAGGAGCAGCAGCGTTCCAAAGACCTGGAGAGCCGGCAGAGATCCCTGGAGCAAGCCAACCGCAGCCTGCAGCTCCGAATTCAGGTCTGGAAGGAGGAGGTGGTGGCAGGGGTGAGGGGGGCTTCCTGGAGGCAGAGGCAGAGGAAGGGCAGGCCAGGATTTCCCCTCCTGGCATGTTTGGGGGATCTCCAGACTTCCTGACTCACGGTGATGGTGATGATGATGTTAAATAGTAATCATAACATTGACAAGAGTAATAACGAACATTGGCTAATGTACAGTGTTTTATCTTGTGCCATGCGCTGTGACAAGAGCTTAATCTCTCTGTACTGACAACAGCCCACAAGAGACAGGGAGTATTCTCATACCTGGTTCACAGATTGGAACTCTTGAGGCTCAGAGATGAGAAGCGATTTGTTTAGTGACACAATTAGGGAGTGGCAGAGGCTGAATTTGAACTCAGGCATCCTGCCTGCCTACCCTTTAACCATTATAGTCCTCTGCCTCTGAGGGAGTCTGAACTCCATCTTATCCCACCCTCACCCCCTACTTTGCAGGAGCTAGAACTGCAGGCCCAGATCCATGGTCTGCCGGTTCCTCCCACCCCAGGGCTGCTCTCCCTGGCCACGACTTCAGCCTCTGACAACCTCAAGCCAGAGCAGCTGGACGTTGAGGAGGAGGGCAGGCCAGGCGCAGCAACGTTTCATGCAGGGGGGGGACCTGCCCAGAGTGCTCCCCATCAGCAGCCCCCAGCACCACCCTCAGATGCCCTTCTGGACCTGCACTTTCCCAGCGACCACCTGGGGGAGCTGGGGGACCCCTTTCACCTGGGGCTGGAGGACATTCTGATGGAGGAGGAGGAAGGGGTGGTGGGGGGACTGTCGGGGGGCGCTCTGTCCCCTCTCCGTGCTGCCTCCGACCCCCTGCTCTCTTCGGTTTCCCCCGCTGTCTCCAAGGCCAGCAGCCGCCGCAGCAGCTTCAGCATGGAGGAGGAGTCCTGATCAGGCCTCACCCCTTCCCTGGGATTACCCCCACCCAGGAAAGGAGGCTACACCAGGATGAGGCCCCGCCTTTCCCCCCCACCCTCCCATGAGACTGCCCTGCCCAGGTGTTCTGGGGGAAGAGATATAATGAGACCCACCCCTGTAAACTGTTGAGGAGGAGTCAGATGAGGCCCACCCCTTCCCCACTCAGGAACAGCCATGCTCAGCTCCTTTCAGGCCAGGGGAAGGTAGTGAGATCTGGGCCCAGTCTCTGGAGATCACAACCTCACCCCCTGTCCTGTGGGACCTGCCTTTGCCCAGGTGAGGGAAGGAGACAGGGTGAGGCATGCCTCCATCCCCTCTGGACTGCCCTGGTTAGTTCTGGGATAAAGAGGTATCAGAGCTGTGCCGTTCCATCCCCTCCTGGAACTGCCAGTCTAGTCCGTCATGGCCAAGAAGAGGAGTTAAGATGATAGAGGTCCCACCCTAGGGGATTAAGCCCTGCACCTTCCCCATGAACCCTGCCCTGCCCAGGCAAGGAACAGAAGTGAGGGTGAGTTCCTTCATCTGGGAACTCAGCCCTGGCCTTGCAATGGAAGAGTCCAGCCCCTCCCCTTCCCTGTGTCTTGTGCAGGAGCAGCCCCGCACAGGTATGTCAGGCTTGGAGGAACCCTACAACCAGGCTGTCAAGCGGGGATCACAGCCTTGTCCCCTAGCAACATCCCATTCAAGCATTCCACACCGCAGGGAGGAGAGGTACTTGCGCTCCCCTGCCTTAACCTGGGACCAACTTGACCTAACCTAGGGGGCTCTGAGCCGACCTTGCCCTTGGAGAAGGGGGCAGATTTTGAAATCTTGTGGGTTGACATTCCAGACCTGCATCAGGAGTGCGAATCTTAAGGCAAGCGCACTGCCTCCTTCCTTAAAGGAGTTTGGTGAGGGGTTGGGGATCAAGGAGTACTGAGTGTAGGTGCCCCCAGAATAGTACCCCAGTACTCTTTCAACATGTAAAGAAATAGGAGGAATGAAGGGGTCATTCTGGGGATTTCCCCAGCCCAGGATAAAATGGAAGCCTGTCTGACCAAGGTGGAACCTTAGAAGGAGGATTATAATGGAATTTGTACCCTCTCTTTTGCTTATCTGATTTTTTTATTGACACCCCCCCCCCACCCACCCAGAAGCTAGGTCACCTCCAATCTCCGAGCACAACCCAATTCTCCATTTGGAGAAATCCTTTCCACGTCAGAATTACCAAGAGACACTCCCTACCTATGCCCACCCCCTCCTACCACACACACCCAAAGTGGTCAGCCTTGGATCATTGGGGTAACCCCCAAGGAGGGTGTACTAAGGGGACTGTAGGTTTGTGATTAAATAAATGCTAGGCGTGTTTGATGCGCTTTTAACTTTGGCAAAGTCTCCTGTCCTTGCTTTTGACTGCAGTGAGCATGGCCAATGAGACAAGGGAGAAAGGCTCTTAGAAGAGAAGTTGGAGAGGGACAGCTAAAAGAACTTAGCTAGAAGGGAAGGGCTGTTGAAGAAAAATAACGCGTAAGCCAATGAGTTCTTAACCGCCTTCCAGCACTAACGTTTGTGTTTCATCCCATGTATTATTCTAAGGAATATTCAAGAAAGTACTGATTCTTATCCCCATTTCATATTTGAAGAAACCAAGGAATAGAAAATTTAAGTAACTATGTTAAGTCATATAGTGGTAAAATGATGAAGGGCTAAATGATAATATTAGATGGGTGACTGCTTTGGTTTGGAAAATGTCTCAGAGGGCAGAGGCAGCAAAAGAGATTCTTCTAGCCAGTTCATTTTTGAAAATGACCAGGAAGCACAATTGACCCTTAGCTCATGCATGGGTTAAGGGCATCGACCCCTAGCAGTTAAAATGCCAAGTAACTTAGTCAGCCCTCGGTATCTATCCATGGATTCTGGGTGCTGGGATTCAACCAACTGATATCCGTGTTTGGTTGAATCCATGAATGGGAGGCCCTCATAGGAAAGAAAACAACCCATGTGTAAGTGGACCCTGCAGTGCAGACCCATGTTGCTCAAGGGTCAGATGTATTGAGGGTATCTTCTGGCAGCCATGGGAGCTCTTTCATGTGATGGAAAAGGCCAAAGACAAAAACCATGAAGGTAGAGGAATAGGTAATCATCTCAGTTTGGAACAGATGTTGACATTTGCAGGAAATTGAAATGGAGATGAATAATTATGAGTATCTTCTTGAAGGTTGTGGGGAGGGAAATATGATCCTGGAATCCTTAAACACACTCTGACTCCTAGGACAGGCATCGGGCCTGCCTCTGTCTTCCCAGCAGACTGGCCACCACATAGGATACCCTCTTTCTTTCTATTACATTGTGACCCCAAGGTTTGGTTGTTGAGTTTTTGCCACCAGGCTGGGGGCTTCCTGTAATCTTTTTCCCTCCTCAAATTTGCTATAGTCTTTATATAAAGTGATGCTCAGAAATGGTTTTGTAAGTCTGTATTCTGAAATAATCACAGACTTACAGAAGGGTGGCAAAATAGTTAGCTTTCCCATACCCATCACCCAAATCCCCCTAATGTTAATATCTTCTTACATGACCATGACACATTGATCAAATACTAAGAAAAGACCATTGGCACAATAGCAGGAACTCAACTTCAGACTTCATTTGGATTTCACTGTTTTCTCCCATGAATATCTTTTTCTGTTATAGGATACAGGGATACTGTATTATCTTTTTGTGTGTTACAAGTTACCACAAACTTTGTGTCTAGAAACAGCACACATTCATTAAATCTGAGCTTTTGAGAAGCAAGAATCCAGGATGACTCAGCTGGGTCCTCCACTCCAGTGGCTCTCATGAAAGTGCTATTTGAAAAAGTATCTGGAGGGATGGAGGACATATTTGGAAACAGTACTGGGAAGGGGTACCCTGAGCTCCCACTGTTTTGGGTAAGATCCAGTCCTCTGCAGGCTATTGAATGGAGGACCTCAGTTCTTGTTCTTTGTGTCTTCCCATATGGTAGCTTACTGCATGGTAGTTTGCTCCATCAAAGCCAACAAGAGAGTCTGCTAGCAAAATGGAAATTGCAATCTTTCATAATCCAATGGAAGTGAGATCCCCTCCACGTCCAGGCATTTTGTTAAAATCAAGTGACTTTGGGGAGAAGAATTACACAAGACCATGAATATCAGTAAGTTAGGAACCAGTAGGGGGAGCCATCTTCGAACTTACCTACCACAGATCCTACTACTTGCATTTTGCTGTCCTATCTTCTTGGTCTCCTGATAGTTTCTCAGTCTGTCCACTGAGAGGCCTAGGTGTGCAAGAAGCAATGAACACATGTAATACCCAGATCTAGTTTTCTAAATGCTGTTCTCCAATGAAAGCAAACAGGACTGCTTAAAGAAATGGCTGATTTTAAAGGCTGTGGTGGGGAAGTACAAAGTGTGCCTGTAGTAGCACCAATGCCAGAAAGCAAGGAAGTACTAGAATTAAAGAAAAAAAGGGAACATCTCAAGGGTATGGAAGTCAACCCTAAAGAGTTCCCAGTGGCTAAAGTTGAAAATTTTGAGCAAAAAAAAAAAAAGATAGTATTGGATTACAATCCAAAAAATGAAAAATATCCATAACTCTATACTTAAATGACATGTGATATGATTGAATAAATTAATGTTGGAGAGCAGACAATTTCTCTGTGTTAACAACTTGAAATAATGTAGAAAGAATGAGTGAAATAGAAAAATGCCATTAAAAAGCCATGGTAATAATTGCTACAAATCTGAGCCACTAAATGACAAAATAAATGAGTAAAACTTAATTTAACAAAATTATACAGCCTAAAGTATCACCTCCAAAATGTTTATTAAATATTTGACCCTCCTCCTAAGAGTTGGAACTTAATTCCCCTCCTCTTTCTCTAGCCTCTGATCTGAACTTGGTGACTTTGTTATAAGAGTGATGAAATTGAAAAGTAGTAACATTGCAGTAGAAAAAAACTAACAGAAACCTTAATCAAGAGATTAACATTAGCATCACCAATAAGATGCATTACCTTCATGGTCCCCTAGTGTAATGTAATGAGAAGGGCATTTCACCTCTATAACATTCTTCCCCCCAAAGCTATTACCTCAGTGTAATCATGAGAAGAAAGCAGAGAAATCCAAATTGAGGGACATCCTGCAATGTATTTAACCAATATTCTTTAAGTGTCAAGGTCTCAAAAAACAAGGAAAGATCAGTTGCATATTCAAGCAGTCATTTTTGTCTCCATCTGTCCATTCTGGCTTTCTTTTTTGGCCATGAGATGATGGAAACCAGTGTCATCATTCTATAGGTACTTTAACAAGGCTACCTACCTGGTATCCTCTACACTCTGCTGGACAGAGTGTTATGGTTGAAAGAAAGCTGGGAGTTTGGATTGTGCCTTCTCTCAGTCTGGATCAGTTTCAGGACCTTCCTGTAGTGAATTTGCAGCCTAGGCGGAAAATAGCAGTTAGAGCTAAGCTGGGAAAGGGGGGGGGGGGTCAGATTTCCGGGCTGCTGGGACTTCAGTCTAGTAGGCATGACACTAGAGAAGGAGCTTTGTAGAGGCAGACGTCTAGAAAGCACCGTAAGAATTGCTTTTAGGTCTTTGGTTAATTAACAAGCTGTGCAGGCATAGAGCAGGACACTGGGAAGCCAAGAGAACTCAGTCCCATGCTTACTGAGCTGAACTGACCCTTGCATAGTAGTGGAGACATGGGTATTTTGGCCAGCCTGAGTGTAGAGTCTTCCTCCAATACCCCACTGAAAATAGACGTCCCAGAAAGGCCATGTCTTAATAGTAAGGTCACTTCAACCTTACAGTAAGGATTACTACAGATCCCAGCTAAACTATCCTAAAAACATGCTCAAAAGTTGAATTCTGGGCTTTAGAAAACATCGATATATATAACATTAGCACAAAGGACAGAGCTCAGGAAACAAAACTGTTACAAGGTTTTCCCACCTTATGTGAAGTGGCATATATTAACTTTCAAAAGTGACTGTGATAAATTAAGGATGTAATTTGTAACCACCGGGGCAATATCTAAAGAAAACTTATCTGGTTACCTCAAAAGTAAGGTGGGGAGGGAGGAACAGAGGATCAAAAACGAGTAGAAATAAATAGGAAACATATAAGAAAGTGACAGAGCTAATCTGACCATATCAGATACCATAATAATTCCAAAGTCCAATAATTCCATAAAATGTAAATGAGCTGAAAGCTCTCATTAAAGGCAAGGATTTTAAAACCAGAAAAATGAAAACAAGACCCAGCCAGAACTGAGATTAGGGTAAGACACTTACCTTGGGTGCAAAATTTAAAGGGATTCCCAATAATCAGGAGAAATGATATTTTAATGTAATATTGAAAAAGTAAAACTTAACGCAATGTAGTCCATGTTGCACAAAGGATCAGAATTTTACATAAAGATAGGATTCCACCCTGCACTTGCACTGCTCTGGGGCTCCTGAAAGTGGGGGACAAGGGCAGGCTCAATGACATAAAAAAAACCTCCTACTTGCAATTTCTTTTGAAGGTCATTGTTCCATCCTGAGGGAAGTTGACAAGTTTTTCCCATTGTTTATAGCTGCAATCTACAGTACTGCAGAGTAAAGGGGAAAGTTTTCATTTTATTATAAATACATGTTTGTGTAATTTTTAAAATATTAAGAGCACTTAGATAACTAATACAAATTTTATTTATTCATATATTTGACTTTTCACAAATGAATCTCACCAAATATCAAACATTTTATGAACAAATTTATTTTTACCAAGAAAATAAAAAGCTTACCAGGAAACATTTATGCATTATTCACTTAAGTCACCAATAAATAGCTTGCTATTATTAAATTGTTTTTATAAAAAGTTGTTTTTCACCAATTTATCTGGAAATCTGGTGCCTAGTTTTCTGTTTATAATTATTGATTTTTGTATTTTTGATACAAATTGTTATGTATGCCTATTGTTAAATATAATTTATATAAACCTTAATTAATATAAATTAAGTACATATTATGTATATTTATTCTAATTATTGTATTAATTTAAAATAAATATATTTTTAATTTATGCTAAAAATCTTAGCCATGGCATCTAAAAAGTCAAGTGGTACAATGTTTGGGGAATAAAGAAAAATATGTGCAGAAATTAATCAAAATGATAGCGAGCAGTTAAAATTGTTGCTATAAAACCCAGCATTTTAGGGTTTGATAATGAAAATTTGTTTCTATCTTTTTTTTTTTTAAGCAAAAGCCTTTGTGTCTTTGTTTTACTGATTTTAGCTGTGTATGTGTGGAGATTATAACTAACTCATCTTTCTGTCTCTGGTGCCTACCATTGGAAATATGATTTTTGGACAAAATTGTCACATATTTTT